GCACGTGTGTGTGTGGCTGTTTCTACTAGTCTTGACTGATGCCGATGTATTGTGCTAGCACACTGAGATACCATGCCGCAGTTTAACATGAAGACCCAACTCAGACACAGTACACTGACTCCGAGCCGAACAGTCCTTGTTTTAGCCCCTTAATGCCAAGTACCATCTTTTAACGTCTTTTGGTATGACGCGGTCGGGGATGGAACCCCGGACCTTCCGCTCTCCAGGCGGACGCTCTACCTCTAGACCACGGAGGCGGTCGTCACAAAATGAGCACAGGTCAGGTTTGTCTCAACTTGGCTTTGTGATTTCGCAACATTAAGGATGTGCACGGAAATATTTCTCAGCTTTTATTCCTCTTCTTTTACTGTTTGTTGTCAAGCCATTTACGTATGGAGGTTTGCAGAGGACTTACGAATGCTTTCAACTCCAATAGCATTTCATATAAAACTGAAAAAAATTGCACAGGAACATTCCTGAAACTGTCAGGTGTCACACTGATCTGTGTTTTTTACATGGAATTTTCATGGAGACGAAGAGCTAATGGTTTAAAATCTAGTTGTATTTCAAAATAGTTCTCCTTCGGAACACTTTACTAGTGAAGATCCGGGTTAGAGTAGGTCTTCAGCAACCAATGCTTGACCCGGCAACTATGCTTGTCGTAAAAGGCAACTAACGGGATCGGATGGTGAGGCTCGCTGACTTGGTTGATGCATGTCATCGATCACAATTGCGTGGATCGATGCTCGTGATATTGATCACTAGATATTGCTGAACTATTGCTGGATACGGCGTAAAACAACAAACCAACCAACTTAAGTTTACACTCACCTTTTACGAATAACTGTAGCATCATCACATCTGAAACACAAGACACATAGCACATTATCTGCATAGCGACTGTGGACATGCATGCAGACAAGTCACACAAGCTTACTATAATTGTCAGCCACAGATTAGGATACAGATGACGAATGCTGTTTGTTCTGAGTTGTTGATAATTCAGAGAGCACACCACGCGATTCATGGAATTGTAAATCGATTCTGCTTTTGGCAGAGATTTATCATTATCATGAGGGCGGTCGGGTAGCCTAGTGGTTAAAGCGTTCGCTCGTCACACCGATGACAAAGGGTTCGATTTCCGAAATGGGTACAATGTGTGTTATTATGAAACGGGTTTTTGTTCTTTTTATTTACGAGTACATACCGATGTCTCATGGCATGAGTTTTGCTGGGTGTGACGTTTGGCATCAAGGTTCGCCTGTTTTATTTTGTGCGCCAATGTATACGGGGAAAACATAGAACTGAAACATCGTGTGACATGTAACAACAAATATGACCCGAATGAATCATCTGTATTCATATTGTTTTTGTTAATTTTAGGCGCAAACACACCACTTTCCAAAGAGCTGTGATTCCCACTTCGTTAAATCCTTTTAAAGAAAAGCTCGACTTCGTTCAAATTTAGGTAGATTTGATTTCTGGAACATAACTCATAAAACCCATGAATATCCGGGTGATGATAGGTCTAAAGCAACCACTGCTTGGCCAAACAGGCGACAAACGGGAACGGGTGATCAGGCTTGCTGACTTGGTTGCTGAATGTCATCGTATCCCAATTGCGTATATCGATGCTCAGATCAATCACTGGATTGTCTGGTCCAGGTTTACAGACCGCCGTCATATAGCTGGTATATTGCTGAGTGCGGTGTTACGCAACAAACAAACAAAACTCGAAAACGGTTCAGTTTCATTTTACTTTGTACCTGCACAAGTAAACAGTTTGCCTTCGGCTATTCAGGATCTAAAAGATCAACATAGGTTTTTTTTCATTGCCAAACCTTTCATTGTTTCTACACGAAATGTAAGATCAATAATGTCACATTGTGTGTGCTTAAATATTTATGCGCGAGCAGGTTTTATATTTCAAGTGTATATGTTCTGTATTGCTTTAGGATTGATGCACAAGTCAAGCTGTATAGTACTTAATGTGAGTACATCAACCTTATAAGTTGCCTATTACCTTTATTATAACCAATTCACCTCACCTTGGAATTTCGATATTGCGTCCAGGGAGCCATCTTTGATTTAAAAACATACATAATAAATCTTCTTCTCAAAACTTAAATAGCCTGATGCCTAAAACATGGGGGACGGGATGGTCATTTTGTTATGTGGAGCCGCAAGGCGTCATGGAATCAAATATGGCTGCTAGTGGCCATGTTGGGAAAAAAAAAATCATTCGTCGTCTTCAGGGTGGTCACGCGTGAGGAGTAAGAGTAGAACTTGGTTTTAGAAAGAGACGACATAATTGGGAAAGTCTGGGTTATCATCGGTCCTAAGCACGCTGTGCTGGCAGTACGAGGCGACCGGTTGGGAAAGGTTGGGTTATCAGTCCTCAGCACGCTGTGCTGCCAGTACGAGGCGACCAGTTCGGAATGTCTTGGTTATCATTGATCCTAAGCACGCTGTGCTGGCAGTACGAGGCGACCAGTAGGGAATGTCTGGGTTATCATTGGCCCCAAGCATGCTGTGCTGGCAGTACGAGGCGACCCTTTGGGAAAGGCTGGGTTATCATTGGTCCTAAGCACGCAGTGCTGCAAGTACGAGGTGACCAGTTCGGAATGTCTTTGTTATCATTGGTCCTAAGCACGCTGTGCTGGCAGTACGAGGCGACCAGTTGGGAATGTCTGGGTTATCATAGGCCCCAAGCACGCTTTGCTGGCAGTACGAGGCGACCAGTTGGGAAAGGCTGGGCTATCATTGGTCCTAAGCACGCTGTGCTGCCAGTACGAGGCGACCAGTTCGGAATGTCTTGGTTATCATTGGTCTTAAGCACGCTGTGCTGGCATTCCGAGGCGACCAGTTGGGAATGTCTGGGTTATCATTGGCCCCAAGCATGCTGTGCTGGCAGTACGAGGCGACCAGTTGGGAAATGCTGGGTTATCATTGGTCCTAAGCACGCTGTGCTGGCAGTACGAGGCGACCAGTTGGGAATGTCTGGGTTATCATTGGTCCTAAGCACGCTGTGCTGGCAGTACGAGGCGACCAGTTGGGAATGTCTGGGTTATCATTGGCCCCAATCACGCTGTGCTGGCAGTACGAGGCGACCAGTTGGGTTGGTTGATTGCCTTTAAAAAAAAAACCGACGGATCGTTACTCATAATGTCACTTTCTCTACGATCGGGTGGTCACGCTCACTGACAAGGTTGATGCAATTCATCGTATCCCAATTACGTAGAACCCGTGAAGATTCCGGGGTAGAATAGGTCTTCAGCAACCCATGCTTGTCGTAAAAGCCGACTAACGGGATCGGGTGGTCAGGCTCGCTGACTTTGTTGATGCACGACATCAATCCCAATTACGTGGATTGATGCTCATGATATTAATCACTGGATTGTTTGGTCCAGACTCGATTATTTCAGATCACCTTTATATAGCTGGAATATTGCTGAGTGCGGCGTTAAACAACCAACCAACCAACCAGCCAACCAATTACGTAGAGTGATGCTCATGATATCAGTCATCATTCAGCGGAATGTCTCCTCCAGGCTGTATTATTTACAAACCGACGTCACACACACACACTTTGTCATTGAAAACTCAAAGCCTCCAAAGATTATAGTAACTGCCAAAAAAGTGAAGGAAATATCATAATAGAAGACTGTGATTCTGCACAGTGGAATTTGATAAGTCATTGAGTATGCACAACATTAAGTCAACAATCTACACATTATGTCAACTGCAGCAAGAAATTGAAGGTTACTACTAATCAGTTGATCAAGAGTTCATAAAACAAGTGATTCTGCATTAGGGAATTTGATAACTCAGTAACTATGCTTGCTGAAAAAGGTGACTATGCCTGTCGTAAAAGGCGACTAACGGGATCCGGTTGTCAGGCTCGCTGACTTGGTTGATACATGTCATCGATCCCAATTGCGTGGATGGATGATCATGATATCAATCACTGGATTGTCTGGTCAAGATTCGATTATTTATACAGACCACCGTCATATAGCTGGAGTATTGCTGACTGCGGCGTTAAACAACAAACCAGCCAACCAACAAACCTTGAATATAGTTGAACGTCAGGCAAATTCTGTTCAAAACACTATGAACATATTTTATTAGGAGAAGCTATATGAACGATCAGCTCGCCATGGAACTAAAATAAACTCAACATTCTGTAAAATACACCACAAAATAAATTATAAGTGAATACAATCAGAAATTGAATCTGTAACTGTTTCTTGTTATTCCTTGGTAAGCTAACTCCGTGACATTAATGCTTCATATTTCATTAATCAAATATAATATGAACAGAAAGCAAATACATATCAAAGTGATTTTAACGACATATTGCTCAACTGATAAAAAATAATTGTCTTGAGTTTGCCATGTCAAGTTTTGGAGTGACGAAGCATTAAAACATGGTGAATGCATAACACTGCATTAAGATGTTTTACTTTCATCGAATTGTTCAACAGATTGTCGAAATATTCCTGTGAAGTTTTAATATACGACTTGTACACCACTCATTCCGGCTTCAGATTAAAAAGGCCTAGAGCCATCTGATGCTTTTATAACGAGGAACATAATGTACCTTGTGGCCACTGGGGCCACTTGAGGGGTGAATGTGGCCATGCTATCTGTATTATTATGTGGTTGGTTTGTGGTTTAACGCCGCACTCAGCAATATTCCAGCTGTATGACGGCGGTCTGTTAATAATCGAATCTGGTTCAGACAATCCAGTGTGTGATATCATAAGCATCGATCCACACAATTGGGATCGATGACATGCATCAACCAAGTCAGCGAGCCTGACCAGCTGATCCCGTTAGTCGCCTATACAACAAGTTCAGTCGCCTTTACGGCAAGTATTGGTTGCTGAAGAACATATGTGTCGCTGTGGCATCCAGGGGGTTTACACTCTGAAAAACGATAACGTTGACATAACAAGTGATACTGTAACTGATAATAAAATACAAAAAAACTCGCAGACGAGGACGAGTTCGTTTATTGTTATTAATGATTACACGGTCCTGTGGTTCAATACAGACGTAGGTGAACATTCGACTGAAGCACGAGCAACTATGAATGATTTACACTAATGAAAGTAGCCAATCACTGGCCTGAAATTCGATATCACAAATATGTTTCAAATTGGTTTCTCACCCACAGGTGTGTAAGAAAAGTCTATTCTACTCAACGTGAGTTTGGATATCACTTCGCAAAAACAGATCGGTTCAATTTAGTACATCTGTTCAAGTTATCCCAGCATAGTCTGAATGTAGCTTTATTCCTCAGGGGGCTGTCGGGTAGCCTAGTGGGTAAAGTGCTCCCTCGTCACACCGAAGACCCGGGTTCGATTCCCGACATTGGTACAATGTGTGAAACCCATTTCTGATGTCATCCGCCGTGATACTGCTGGAATATTGCTAAAAGCGGCGTAAAACCAAACTCACTCACTCTATTCCTGTTCATGTTAACTAAGACATCATATTTATTGCAATTTGAAGAAAAACTTTACATGACCAATAACAAATTAACCTGTCGAATGGTTAGCTACATATGCAGGTTTATTACGATATATGATCATATGTCCTCGTTGTCAACCCCTCGGTTTAGTCAATATCATGTGGCGATGAGCCCTGATAACATTGCCAGGTGCAAAACTGGAAGGTCTTCCTTTCTATACAGAAACAAGATGTGGTAAATGCAAGAGGGCATATTTTAGTTATCGCCCCGGGGCGAAATCCTGACATCTTGGCTTATCGTGGAAGGTGTGTCGCTGGACCATTTGATTGAAAACAAATGAAAACAACAAGAAACATGTTACCTCACAACTTCAAAGATCAATAACGTGTAAGGGGTATTGTTGATTGTATGGCTGTTGATTTTCACCGCAGTCTGACCACACGACCCACCAAGTCGCCTCTTACGACAAGCATCGGTTGCTGGGGACCTGCTCTCACCCACCATTCCCACGGGGATATGGAGATTAAACTGAGCTTAATAATGTTCAGCAAATATACCCAGCCCATATTACACAATTAAAATTGTGATAAGAAATAACTGGTGCATTGCCACATAAAACTCTAATAGCATATAAATAGATGCTAGTCAAGTGCAATAGTTATTCATGATTGGCGGGAATAAGTTCTTATACAGCATGTCAAAAAGTATAAATAACGATCACACTTGTTCATCTGAGGAACAGAAATGTTGGAGAATGAACCAACGAGTTTAACGATACTTTTAGCAACATTCCCGCGGTTGGCATTTTCATTTTACAAAATGGCCATGTTTGGATTCAAGGCCATGTTTGTATGTCGAGTACAAACTTTAAACACAAGGCAACCCAGACGCCTGATAGAGATTTGCAGTGATGGCGATAATCAACAGACTTTACGGTGCATAAAGACACCTTCAATGTAACATTCACAACTAACCAAACAACATTCTAGGAAGGTTGCCTTTTTAAGTAGAAGTATGTCTGAAACATGTAGCGAATGAAGCATGTACTTTGAAAAGTATAAAACCCATTTGATGATTCCTTTCTAAAAATGACCTTTGAAGTAACATGGATTATATTGAAATGTTCTGAACACGTCTGTCCGTCTTTTCATGTCAAGTCTTTGCGCCAAGGTAGCTAGCTACACGCATTGTAACTGATGTCTGTCTGGAGAATCCTGTCTGTAACCTTGGGTTGTCGTTCACACTGCTTCTTCTGTTTATTTCCTGTTCTACAGTCCATTAAAGAATTGTTGGATGTTCTCCATTAGACCTTAAATAAAGCAAAGTTGTGTGTGAAAGTAACAGAAACAAATGTTGACACACTGGTGATCATAATACTCCAAACGGGACACCTGTTTCCAAGATGAAACAGGACAGTTTCATGCACCAATCTGGTGTCAATAACTGTTAAAACTGAGTGTTCGGAAGGTATTAGAAATGAGTGTTCCGAAGTCAACTCAAACACATATCTACCTGTATACAGTAGCATCAATACTTACCCGTCCCCTTTGTTACTGAGTGTTCCAAAGGTAACTAGAACACATATATGTATACTATGTCATCAATACTTACCCGTCCCCTTTGTTACTGAATGTTACAAAGGTAACTAGAACACATATCCGTATACACTAACATCAATACTTACCCGTCCCCGTTGTGACCGAGTGTTCCAAAGGTAACTAGAACATATATCTGTATACCCTGATATCAATACTTACCTATCCCCTTTGTTACCGAGTGTCCAAAAGGTAACTAGAACACATATCTGTATACACTGACATCAATACTTACCCGTCCTCGTTGTTACCGTGTTTTCCAAAGGTAACTAGAACACATATATGTATACACTGACATCATTACTTGCCCGTCCTCGTTGTTACTGAATGTTCCAAAGGTAACAAGAACACATATATGTTTACACTGACATCAATAATTACCCGACCCCTTTGTTACTGAATGTTCCAAAGATAACTGGAACACACATATGTATATACTGACGTCAATACTTACCTATTCCCGTTCTTACCGAGTGTTCCAAAGGTAACTAGAGCACATATATGTATATTCTGACGTCAATAATTGCCCGTCCCCTTTGTTACTGAATGTTACAAAGGTAACTAGAACACATATATGTATACACTGGCATCAGTACTTACCCGTCCCCATTGTTACCGAGTGTTCCAAAGGTAACAAGAACACATATTTGTATACACTGACATCAATACTGACCCGTCCCCGTTGTTACAGAGTGTTCCAAAGGTAGCTAGAACACATATATGTATACACTGACGTCAATACTGACCCATCCTCGTTGTTACCGAGTGTTCCAAAGGTAGCTAGAACACATATATGTATATACTGACGTCAATAATTACCCGTCCCCTTTGTTACTGAATGTTCCAAAGGTAACCAGAACACGTATCTGTATACACTGATGTCAATACTTACGTATCCCCGTTGTTACTGAATGTTCCAAAGGTAAATAGAAGACATATCTGTATACACTGACATCAATACTTACCCGTCCCCGTTGTCTCAGAGTGTTCCATAGGTAACTAAAACACATATCTGTATACACTGACATCATTACTTGCCCGTTCTCGTTGTTACTGAATGTTCCAAAGGTAACTTGAACACATATCTGTATACACTGACATCAATACTTACCCGTCCGCGTTGTAACCGTGTGTTTCAAAGGTAGGTAAATAACATATCTGTATACACTGGCATCAATACTTACCCGTCCCCATTGTTACCAAGTGTTCCAAAGGTAACTAGAACACATATCTGTATACACTGACATCAATACTTACCCGTCCCCGTTGTTACCGAGTGTTACAAAGGTAACTAGAACACATATCTGTATACACTGACATCAATACTTACCCGTCCGCGTTGTAACCGTGTGTTCCAAAGGTAGGTAAATACCATATCTGTATACACTGACATCAATACTTACCCGTCCCCTTTGTTACTGAATGCTCTAAAGGTAACAAGAACACATATATGTATACACTGACATCAATACGTACCCGTCCCCGTTGTTACCGAATGTTCCAAAGGTAACTAGCACACATATCTGTATACACTGACATCAATACTTACCCGTCCGCGTTGTTACCGAATGTTCCAAAGGTAACTAGCACACATATCTGTATACACTGACATCAATACGTACCCGTCCCCGTTGTTACCGAGCGTTACAAAGGTGTCTAGAACACATATATGTACATACTGACGTCAATAATTACCCGTCCCCTTTGTTACTGAATGTTCCAAAGGTAACTAGAACACATACCTGTAAACAGTGACATCGATACTTACCCGTCCCCGTTGTTACAGAGTGTTCGAAAGGTAACTAGAACACATATCTGTATAAACTGGTATCAATATTTACCTGTCTCTGTTTTACTGAATGTTCAAAAGGCAACTAGAGCATATATATATGTATACACTGGCATCAATAATTACCCGTTACCGTTGTTACTGAGTTGGGGCGGTCGGCTAGCCTTGTGGTTAAAGCGTTCGCTCGTCACGCCAAAGACCCGGGTTCGATTCCCGACATGAGTACAATGTGTAAAGCCCATTTCCGGTGTCCCCCGCCGTGATATTGCTGGAATATTGCTAAAAGCGACGTAAAACCATACTCATTCACTCACCCTTACTGTGTTTTCCAAGGGTACGTAGAAGACGTATCGGTACACATTGACATAAGTATTTACCATTCCCTCTCCTGGCGGGTTGAGGATTAGGGTTGACATACACCAATCTCGGGGCAGCTGGAACTACCACCATCCCACCAGCAGCCATGTGAGGATTGACGACGACTTGATTGGGCTGCCCTCTGTATGCAGCTACAACAGACAGATGGTGATAGGGTTATCGTAATAGGCGACAGTCATGTCAAATGCTATTCCCTATGTTCCCTATTTTATGTGCACAGTTGACTTGCCGATGCATGTGGTTTTGACGGGAGCTCTCTGAGGAGGCAGGGCGCTTTCACCTTTTTGCGAACACCTGGTATCTTCACGATTTGTTTATGATTCATAAACACATGCTCATTGTTTGGGCGGAACCATACATTCGACTCTGCTTTTAGCGGAGATGTCTTCTGCGTTTTGAAATTGTTTTGTTTATTTACATGACAGAGCCCACGTTTACCTTACTATATTGTATAGCACACATATATAGAAAACAATTACATTAGTGCAATATCAATCACTGGATTGACTGGTCCAGAAACCCCTGTCATATAGCTGGAATATTGCTGAGTGCAAGGTTAAGCAACAAACCAACCAACCAACCAACCAACATTAGTGCAAGGACACACTATGTAAATATCTGACATTGACTAAAACCTACATGTAACTATCTCCACTGTCTTTGATGCTTATTTACATAACAGTGAATGATTTGAATATACCATCAATAAATGTATGTATAAAATATGTTGAGAGAACAATATCACATTGCATGGATTGATTGAAGAATGCAAGTGAATAAACCGTAACCAGTTACATGATATTTTATGTTCATTAAACATTGGTGGTGTTTCAAATAGCGTCAAATACTTTCACGTTAGAGTTTACACTGTAAATGATAGATTTTGATAAGGGCGATTTTTCTCATGGACTAAGATCCGAATTTTCTGCCTTGTTTCGTATGATTTAGCGTGATCTTGGCTTTGTCGGAAGTAGCCCACATACAAACCCACATCGCTGGTTGACCCAAGTAGATAGATCGTGCATACGAAGTGTTCCTGAAGTTTATGTCAATGCCAAACCTATTCCACGAGAAGTGATCCTTTTCGAACACCTTATCCCATATGGAATCTGTCCCGTTGGATAATCTTGAGTGGTTATTCTCATCCACTGGGAATTTATATTACCATGTCAGCCAAAAGACCTTGCTTACGTTGGTCAAAAACATATTTATATTCAATAAAGAAGACAGAAATCGTAATGGCAATTCCATAGTAAACGAAGAGCACTGGCAACCTGTCCGTCTAAGAGGCTGCAGTTCTATGAGTTGTGTCAATGTTCGAAATGGTTCGATCTCTGGTAGTCAATTTAGAGATCCTTCCACGGGGAATTGTTGGCGGTTGTGACTGTACACTAAGTCTTTGTGCAAATCGTTCAGCAAACGGTCCGAGGTATATACGATTTTACACCTTTTTCCAGGGCACTTCACAATACAACTTAACATATAAAGAGAACTATGTGTCTGTTAATTGTAATATTCATGTGTTCATGTGTCACTGGTAGCATTATTTGGCTATTTTAGGTGACAAAGATCTCACCTGGTGAATATACTCCTGAACGTTGTGTTCCTCATAATAAAGAAGTTGACGTCCATACATTCTCTTCCGTGTGTGAACTACTTCTAAATGCCTCTCAAAGACTATATGCTGTGTTATGAATGTAGGAGGTTAAATCGTACATTGGTGATGAGATGCTAGGAACTTAAGATAATCAATGTTTCTGATCATGTTGTGTTTGCAGTGGACTGTGTTATTTGTACTTATGGCTTCGTACTGTAGATCATTATTTATCTTTCCGAATTTCTACAATACATACCATTTTGTCTTTGTTCATTGCCTATTCTCTGCACCTGTAAGTATAAGAGCAAGATGACACATTTCTGCACATTTGGGAAATGTGCACTTGAATATGCACCTTAGACCTAACTTTCGGGGGCGGTGGGGTAGCCTAGTGGTTAAAGCGTTCGCTCATCACGCCGAGGACCCGGGTTCGATTCCCCACATGGGTACAATGTGTGAAGCCCATTCCAGGTGTCCCCCGCCGTGATATTGCTGGAATATTGCTTAAAGCGGCGTAAAAGCATAGGAAAGGTAGTCAAACATTCTTCGCGGGGACGATACAAGACAGTTGTTAGATTTTCGGAGAATCGTTCGTGTTTGGAAAATCTGAAGTAACATTATATTTTCAAAAATGTTGTTGTTTTTTACAATTTATCCAGCTTTCAATCATCACGCCAAACCCACCTGATTCTCCCTGCCCGTCCTTGGTTTTACATACGAAAGATGTTTTATTAGAAACACAATCACCATACAACGCTTGCCATGTCAGTTTAGAGTTATATCTTTACCATTTGTCACAAACATTATAAATATATAAGACTGTCACGAAGACGGTTCATCATTTCAATAGAAATCATGACTTTATTTACCTCAAACTGCATCTGTTCTCGTTCTCTTTGTTCCCCTGAAAACAAAAGAACATTAAGATTTAGATATTGAATTTATCTTTAAGTGATTGTATTTGTAATTATTATAACTCAGATATAAAACACTACCAATGGCACATATGCTGAACTGAGTTTATATTATTTACAAGTTGAACTATCACATAAAGAGTGCTATATAGAACACTATCAATGGCGTTTATTCTGAATTGAGTTTATATTATTTAAAAAGTTGAAATATCACATAAATAGTGCTATGTAACAATCACAAAAATCAAAAAGAACTGTAAATGTAAAATAAAATAGTTGGGTCACGTTTGATGTCCTCATGTACTATCTACTCTACTGTTCTACTTACTTTGCAGTTGTTCCTCCATGGCTGCCTGTTTTTCCTGCATGAGTCGTCGTTTTTCTTGTTCCTCCATGGCTGCCTGTTTTTCCTCCATGTGTCGTCGTGTTTCTTGTTCCTCCATGTCTGCCTGTCTTTCCTGCACGAGTCGTCGTGTTTCTTGTTCCTCCATGGCTGCCTGTTTTTCCTCCATGAGTCGTCGTGTTTCTTGTTCCTCCATGGCTGCCTGTTTTTCCTCCATGAGTCGTCGAGTTTCTTGTTCCTCCATGTCTGCCTGTCTTTCCTGCATGAGTCGTCGTGTTTCTTGTTCCTCCATGTCTGCCTGTCTTTCCTGCATGCGTCGTCGTGTTTCTTGTTCCTCCATGTCTGCCTGTTTTTCCTCCATGAGTCGTCGTGTTTCTTGTTCCTCCATGGCTGCCTGTTTTTCCTCCATGAGTCGTCGAGTTTCTTGTTCCTCCATGTCTGCCTGTCTTTCCTGCATGAGTCGTCGTGTTTCTTGTTCCTCCATGTCTGCCTGTCTTTCCTGCATGAGTCGTCGTGTTTCTTGTTCCTCCATGTCTGCCTGTCTTTCCTGCATGCGTCGTCGTGTTTCTTGTTCCTCCATGTCTGCCTGTTTTTCCTCCATGAGTCGTCGTGTTTCTTGTTCCTCCATGGCTGCCTGTTTTTCCTGCATGAGTCGTCGTGTTTCTTGTTCCTCCATGTCTGCCTGTTTTTCCTCAATGAGTCGTCGTGTTTCTTGTTCCTCCATGTCAGCCTGTTTTTCCTCAATGAGTCGTCGTGTTTCTTCCTCCCTCTCAGACTGCTCCTTCACTTCCTGTATCTGCCATGTAATGTTCTCAGTGTTAACATTGTTATATTATGTTTTATTTGAAGATTGTTCTTTGCTCTACAAACGACTGAAGGAATAAGGGTATTTGCCTTTTACACTAAGTTTTTTTTATATTGTTTATATTGATTCAGGAAATGATGCCAGAAAAATGTGACTCCCCCAAAAATACCTTTTTCTGCATTTCTTGATTTTCAGTTTCTTCATCTGAAATGAAATATGCAATCAAGAAGAAAATGTTGACGGTAGCTTTAAAGTTGTTGTTACTATGGAAATACATGGAGTATCGTAAACTGTGGTTGTCAAATCGTACACATTAAAAGAGGCAGCTTGGTAACTAAGATTAAAGCATTCGCTCGTCAAGCCGAATGTCAAGGTTTTCCACTCAGGTAAAATGTGTGAATCCCATTTCTTGTGTCCCCTGACAAGCTTGATTATTGACAAAAGCAGGTTAATACCTTAATCACTCACTCACATTCTGAAAAGTTGTTAACATAAGTGAATGACGTTTTTCGCTACATTTTGAAACTTCCACAGCAGGTATGTGTTTCTCCAATGTTTTGTTTGCTTCACATTTTGTACGATATTGTATACATTTACTCCGTACCTGGCTCCTTAACAGGGTTTCCAGCCACAGATCCAGCCTCATCCTTGTAGCAATCTGCATCATCGCCCTTGTTGTCTGAGAAATAAGTTTCATGTGATATGACCAAATCTTTTGTGTTTATGTAGGTAAATGTATTTAGCTTACTTTGCTTAGATCCGCTCCATAAAGGCAAAGATTATAACGGGATCGGGTGATCAGGTTTGCTGACATGGTTGATGCATGTCATCTAAAATGCGTAGATCGATGTTGATGATGTCAGTTAATGGAACGTCTGTCCCAGACTCGATTTTTTACAGACCTCAGAAATCTCCCCGTCAACAGTCTGCGCCCTTTGTGATCAGCCTCCCCTAATTTGGAACAGTTAGCCCTAAAATCCAGAGACTCTTAAAGAAACAGGTCAACATTGATGTAGATTTTAAGAGAAGTCATACCATTCAGAACACAATAATAGCGATAGGGTAACCACTATCCAGCCACAAGCTAGAACCATCAGAAGCAGTGTACCACATTCTGGGTAATTGTGGACAAGCTTACATAGGAGAAACATCCAGGCCCCTCAATACCCGAATTAAAGAAAATCAAAGCTCAGTCTCCACAAATGACTCTAAATGAGCTCTATCAGACCACACCCGTGACAACCCAAGCCACCGCATTCAGTGGGATAAAGTCAAGGCCCTCACCACTAATCTGAAAGACTACAAAATCAGAAAACTACAAGAAGCCATCAACATCAAAAGACTCCAACCGTCAATCAACCGTGACGAAGGCTATTACATTCCCCGGCGTACAATCAACTCATCAAAGACCCCAATCAGCCATTATCCTGTTGATTTATGCCCCTGATATATAACTACATATGATGTCTACTCTCCTGTATAAACATTGCATCCTACCTGTATATATACTTATCACCCACACTCTGTATATCACTTGCTTGATAACGGTGTTAGAACCTACATCAAAACTTCGCTCTCAATTGAAATAAAGAAGTTGTTCATTCATAAATTATTATCCTTACTTAGTACTCCAACTTCTAACTGCCTATCAAAGTACTAGTCTTGTTTGATTTATGGAAGGTTAGTCAATCAGGGAACTGTAGTCCTAGTCTTGTTTGGTTTATTGAAGGTTAGTCAATCAGGGGACTGTATTGCTAGTCTTGTTTGATTTATGGAAGGTTAGTCAATCAGGGAACTGTAGTCCTAGTCTTGTTTGGTTTATGGAAGGTTAGTCAATCAGGGAACTGTAGTCCTAGTCTTGTTTGGTTTATGGAAGGTTAGTCAATCAGGGTAGAGGGTCTTATTATTGTTTGGTTTATGGAAGGTTAGTCAATCAGGAACTGTAGTCCTAGTATTGTTTGGTTTATGGAAGGTTAGTAAATCAGGGAACTGTAGTCCTAGTCTTGTTTGGTTTATGGAAGGTTAGTCAATCAGGGTAGAGGGTCTTATTATTGTTTGGTTTATGGAAGGTTAGTCAATCAGGAACTGTAGTCCTAGTATTGTTTGGTTTATGGAAGGTTAGTAAATCAGGGAACTGTAGTCCTAGTCTTGTTTGGTTTATGGAAGGTTAGTCAATCAGGGTAGAGGGTCTTATTATTGTTTGGTTTATGGAAGGTTAGTCAATCAGGAACTGTAGTCCTAGTATTGTTTGGTTTATGGAAGGTTAGTCAATCAGGGAACTGTTGTCCTAGTCTTGTTTGGTTTATGGAAGGTTAGTCAATCAGGGAACAGTAGTCCTAGTCTTGTTTGGTTTATGGAAGGTTAGTCAATCAGGAACTGTTGTCCTAGTCTTGTTTGGTTTATGTAGTAGAATCATCAGCAATTTGTTGATAATACAATATATACGAAATTTACAGATTAACAGTATATTAACATACACCAGCCATATTGGTAAATGTAATGGATTCTATGTGGATCTTTGCAATTACATATTTCTCTTAGTGTCAGGTACATTATTCACAGAGCAAGCAAGTCATATGTTTACAGATGTTTGTATATATAACCATAAAAAGGCTTCATAGATTCAGTATGCGTTTACCTTTGTCTATGGGGTCATCTGGTTTTCGGAGATCAATGATGCAGTCTTTGATGATCTGCACAGCGCCATCTTGCTGTTCTCCGGAATTGTCTCTCTGTCTGATGTTCAGGTCGAGGAACTGAAGGCTTCCACCGAAGCCACCATCAGAGTAGATTTTAGAATTTTCGATGGTTTGTTCATTTTCCATGCCTCCGTGTACTTCCCCAACAACGGTAGCGTCCTTGACAGCACCACCTGCAACTCCAGTGACTTCCTTCAGTTTGTCATCTGCATCGGTGTCATCTCCGTCAGGCTGGCTTCTGCCGCCTGTGATACAGATGTCGCTATCAATCAAGGTCTGTTTGTTGCGCATTCCGCCTTTTACCACGCCAACTACAGTCGAGTTGTCAACATCTCCCCCAGTAACGCCTGAAATGTGCTCCACTCCAACATCAGAAGAATCAACATCTTCATCGGATGAAATACCCGTTACCTGCTTCATGCTGTCCTCTTTATCCACGCTGTCATCTCCACCTGTGACGCCTGTGATGTGTACATCATTGACAACGTTTGTCACGTGCTGCATATGGTCCTCTTCATTCACGCTGTCATCTCCGCCTGTGGCACCTGTGACGTGTACATCATTGACAAAGTTTGTCACGGGTTGCATTTTGTCAACTTCATCCAAGCTTTCATCTCCGCCAGGTACGGCTTTATTGTGTGCTCCATCGACATCGGCAGAATCATCATCAACTGAGACCAGTTCATCCCTGTCCCTTTTCTCCATGACTCCAGGATAACTGTCGGCGGGCTGAGCAGCACCATCAGTTCCAGACCTGCCAGAACCAGATGCCCTCCTCTCCCGCATCAGATTTCTAGAAGCTGTCATACTTTCTGCATGTTCCAAAGCGAAACCTTCAATGTCGCAATTGTGACGTTCACCTCTTATCCGCTCAAAATAATCTATATTCTCCTGCACCGTGTACACTTTATCTTCCATTGTTGATCCTTTATGGTTAAGGTTGCTGAGATATAAGGCTTTCAATGTACCTCACCCTTTTGCATATGCGTCGCTCCAGGTAGTTTGTTGACCGCCTTGTGATATAGGTTCCTTCGCGATGTCTGTCAAAATAAAAGGGTACGCATGAGTATTGTCAGTGTACTTTTGTTACATAGAATAAGTTTAGGTTTATGAAAGTAACCATTACAGGCACAATGTAGTTGATGTTCCATCACCTGGAACAAAGCGACAAGATCCTTTTCGTAATCAGCAGTCTTTGAGAACTTTGTACGACTCTGCCTATATCATAAGCATGTGTGTGCATGACGGGACCTAGATTGTAAAACTGCCCCCGCGTTTGCAAAAAGAACATATATATTTATTAATCGCCCTCGCATGGCAGGAGTACTGCTGTGTGGCATCAGGCAACAAACAAACACTTATTTTTTTATGCAGACTGTGTGAGTGGCGGGAGCTTCCTGTTGGAGAGGACATGTTTACCCGCGAACACCTGATGCCATCACTGATCACTAGTAGCCCATTCATGTAATGTCCATTGCTGCATTATCTTTTACCCTCATGGAATCCAAAAATGTATTCTCTGGCGTTAACGTTATAGAATTATGAATCACTACCAAATGGTGATGATACCAGGTGTTTACAAAAATGGTGAGCGTATCCTGCCCTGCTGGTGGCACACATGTATGAAAGCACGTCAGTATGTTCCGTCAATAAGACCACCGACCTTTACAGCTGAGTACCTGGTGATGAATTGTTTGACAGGCATTACTCAGAAGTTGACGGATGACTTACTTACTTACTTTCTTATAATGGAGATTTTACGTGCGCTTTCCGACTGCAGCGTATTTCGCACACGGGCCCGGCCGGGCCATTTAATGTGTTTCCGAAAAGGGGATAAAGTTGTTTGGCAATCCAGTAGGGTTTTTTGTGGTTGTTTATATAGAATTTTGGACATTTTGAGATTTGGAAAAAAAATGCCAAGAGTGTTTGGGGGGCGAACAAAGAAGACACAATTTATGGATAACAACTTCTTTAATGCTGTAAATGCAACGTTTCGGTATAGATCCTGATACCGTTGTCAAGCATCCGATCCGCCTGCTATGAACTCATTAAGCAATAATCACCACACCTATCCAAACATATCCTGTTTAATTGGCTTCATGTCCCATTGGCTTCGAGCTGTGTGTTCTCTGTCCATCATGTTGTTACAGTTTTATCCTTCTGTTGTCATTACTTACTCATGTTATCCCACTTATGTATGCAATGACTGAGTGAGTGAGTGAGTGAGTGAGTGAGTGAGTGAGTGAGTGAGTGAGTGAGTGAGTGAGTGAGTGAGTGAGTGAGTGAGTTGGGTTTAACGCCGCTTTTAACAATATTCCAGTTATATCGCGGCCTACCAGCTTAATGTGGGAGTAAAGCCCGAAGTGATGCAGGTCTGAGACGTTAACCACTTCGGTGAAACCCACGTGCAAGGGTATGGTGCTGACAAACCTAGAAACATAATCGGAGTAAACCGGGATTCGAGCCCACAATCGTAGGTTTCTCTCGTGCACAAGGCACGCAACTCTGCACAGCGAATCACGGCGCCTTAGACGACTGGGCCACCCGCGCCCCCACTTGGTCTTGGCACATGCTCTCTAATACTATGACAGGAACCCGTCCTGGATTAAACAGTAGACAACAAAATTATCACACTTGAGAGGAGTAAACCCTTGCCAATTGTTTTTGTCTCAGTCTGGATAATCATACTCCGTTTATAACGAACACTCCTATAACGAACTGACGTATATAACTAACTGTTTTAGGGTCCCGTCCATTTGCTGAAAACATGTTGTATCTATGCCTGTAACGAACTGGTTATAACGAATTAACGTGGATTAGTGGCAGAGCCTCCACCCAGAGAGTTGAAGGCCTCGGCCTCGTCATACCAAAAGACGGTAATAGATGTTACTTGCTGTTACCCTGTCGGCATTGTTATTTGCCAGCATGCGTATCGCAATACCGTGCTGTAGGTTGAAAAATATATTCAGATGTTTTTAAGTGAACAAGACTAAGCCCTCAGCTAATTTGATACATCTGGACGGTACATGCCTGCTTTTTCCCTGAGTGTAAAACTCAGACTGATGGCTTATCACCTCAAAGGTCGCCTATAGCGTGTGTTGATAATCACAACAGACAATGCCCGTCAAACGCGACAGAGTATTTTTCCTTTGTTTAGTCACGAACTGTTCACACCAGATCTTACCCTAAGGCCACAGTATACACGGGAACTGTATTGCTGACTAGTAGGGCAGAGCGACAGTTTGGTTACACGTGGACACGCCAATACAACTGCACTGCTATGTTAGTTACTATTGTAGCTAAAATCAGCGTTAGAAATTGGCACTAATCCTGTAGTCCTTACCAAACTGCCCAATAGTAAAGGTATCTTAAGGACTAGTAGAAATTGGCCCATTTTAAGTGTTTTACTATATGTTATCGTTATAAGGACAAAGCTGCTTGTTTCTTACCCTGTAAAATGGATGTATTTTGTTATCAACGTGACGTGACCTAACAACCTGTGGATAGTCACAACGGCACTACAATGTTCCCGTTCTCCAGGCTATGTGTTGATGGCATGTGGTATCTCTCCTACCCATGCTGGATCACACATTGGTCGTGTTAGAGTGAGTGAGTGAGTGAGTATGGTTTTACGCCGCTTTTAGCAATATTCCAGCAATATTACGGCAGGGGACACCAGAAATAGGCTTCACACATTGTACCCATGTCTGGAATCGGGTTTGGGCGTGACTAGCGAACGCTTTAACCAATGGGCTACTCGACCGCCCCTGGTCGTGTTACCAGCTTACCGGTGAACCACACTTCTACACAGGACATAACACAGTTCTTTGACAGCGTCACGCCTGAGACAGCGACAAGATTAATACAGAACACCTTGCATAACCTTGAATAACCTAAGCGTTGAACTGTAAGTGTGTTCCACATGTGATGTGTCAATAATGCAACAGTGATATACATTGAGTGTAATGCATACACAACACTGACTGTGATGTGTCAATGGTGCAACAGTGATAGACATGGAGTGTAAAACATACACACCACTGACTGTGATGTGTCAGTGATGCAACAGTGATAGACAAGGAGTGTATAATATACACAACACTGACTGTGATGTGTCAGTGACGCAACAGTGATAGACATGGAGTGTATAACATACACAACACTGACTGTGATGTGTCAGTGATGCAACAGTGATAGACATGGAGTGTATAACATACACAACACTGACTGTGATGTATCAATGATGCAACAGTGATAGACATGGAGTGTATAACATACACAACACTGACTGTGATGTGTCAATGATGCAACAGTGATAGACATGGAGTGTAAAACATACACAACACTGACTGCGATGTGTCAATGATGCAACAGTGATAGACATGGAGTGTAAAACATACACAACACTGACTGTGATGTGTCAATGATGCAACAGTGATAGACATGGAGTGTATAACATACACAACACTGACTGTGATGTGTCAATGATGCAACAGTGATAGACATGGAGTGTATAACATACACAACACTGACTGTGATGTGTCAGTGATGCAACAGTGATAGACATGGAGTGTAAAACATACACAACACTGACTGTGATGTGTCAATGATGCAACAGTGACAGACATGGAGTGTATAACATACACAACACTGACTGTGATGTGTCAATGATGCAACAGTGATAGACATGGAGTGTAAAACATACACAACACTGACTGTGATGTGTCAATGATGCAACAGTGATAGACATGGAGTGTATAACATACACACCACTGACTGTGATGTGTCAGTGATGCAACAGTGATAGACATGGAGTGTAAAACATACACACCACTGACTGTGATGTGTCAGTGATGCAACAGTGATAGACATGGAGTGTATAACATACACAACACTGACTGTGATGTGTCAGTGATGCAACAGTGATATACATGGAGTGTAAAACATACACACCACTGACTGTGATGTGTCAGTGATGCAACAGTGATAGACATGGAGTGTATAACATACACAACACTGACTGTGATGTGTCAGTGATGCAACAGTGATAGACATGGAGTGTATAACATACACAACACTGACTGTGATGTGTCAGTGATGCAACAGTGATAGACATGGAGTGTATAACATACACACCACTGACTGTGATGTGTCAGTGATGCAACAGTGATAGACATGGAGTGTAAAACATACACACCACTGACTGTGATGTGTCAGTGATGCAACAGTGATAGACATGGAGTGTATAACATACACAACACTGACTGTGATGTGTCAGTGATGCAACAGTGATATACATGGAGTGTAAAACATACACACCACTGACTGTGATGTGTCAGTGATGCAACAGTGATAGACATGGAGTGTATAACATACACAACACTGACTGTGATGTGTCAGTGATGCAACAGTGATAGACATGGAGTGTATAACATACACAACACTGACTGTGATGTGTCAGTGATGCAACAGTGATAGACATGGAGTGTATAACATACACAACACTGACTGTGATGTGTCAGTGATGCAACAGTGATAGACATGGAGTGTAAAACATACATGACACTGACTGTGATGTGTCAGTGATGCAACAGTGATAGACATGGAGTGTATAACATACACAACACTGACTGTGATGTGTCAGTGATGCAACAGTGATAGACATGGAGTGTAAAACATACACAACACTGACTGTGATGTGTCAGTGATGCAACAGTGATAGACATGGAGTGTATAACATACACACCACTGACTGTACACTGCTCATAGATTTGAATCAGAAATTGTCAGGATCCATAATAATGTCCATGTATTTACTACGTTATCAAACCTGTTTCACAACGAGTAAGCTCCGTGACCATTTCGGGTACGAAATGGTCTTCAGAAACTGTCGTAAGAGGCGGCTAACGGGATAGGGTAGTCAGTTTTGCTGACTTAGCTGATGCAAGTCATCGTATCCCAGTTGCGTAGGTCGATGCTCATAATGTCAATCACTTGATTGTCTGGTCCAGATTCGATCATTTACAGAATGCCTTTATATAACTGGAATATTGCTGTCGACTGTAAACAACAAACACACAAACAATGAATAATTCCACACAATGAATCAAACGAGTACTTGAAATGACAACAATATCAATACTAATACATGAGTGGTTGGTTGGTTTGTTGTTTAACACCGCACTCAGCAATATTCCAGCTATATGACGGCGGTCTGTACATAATGGAGTCTGGACCAGACAACCCAGTGATTAATATCATGAGAATCGATCCACGCACTTTGGAAAGATGACAGCGACTCTGACCACCCGATCCCGTTAGTCGCCTCTTACGACAAGCAAAGTCGATTATTACGGCAAGCATGGGTTGCTGAAGACCTACTCTACCCCGGATCTTCACGGCAAGCATGGGTTGCTGAAGACCTACTCTCCCCCGGATCTTCACGGCAAGCATGGGTTGCTGAAGACCTATTCTACCTCGGATCTTCACGGGTCAATATCAGACTTAGTGAGTAACACATGACTAACGCAAATAATCAAAAGCAAATTAATGGTACAAATACATACTGCGTAGGCTCCGACTGACACTGTCCTCGAGTAGTGACACTTGTCTGCAGACTGAACTGATCAATACACGGCTTGACAGTCTATACGGGTGGGTCTTAGCGCGGATATCATATTTAACCAAACATAACGTTCAGGAAGGTCGGACACGCCAGAATACACACCCGGAATTGTGCTGCTGTACAGAGGAACTGGCAACAATGTAAGGTGTTGATTCCCGAACTGAAACAATGTGTTAACCCAGAAATCTGTACTTAAAGGAACTTCGCGTGAAACCAACAAACAAACAACAAGTGGTATACGATTAACAAATGTATGACAAAATTAAGTAGGTTTACAAATGAACATAAATTAGTGCACATCAATTGCAATGCCAGTAAACAATAGAGTGGTAGTATTATATTGAATGGCAATATATTATATGATGGCAAAGGTCAGTATCAAATACAAAAATACAGTGATAAAAATATATATTCACCAAGCAGCAACAGTTGTCTAGCTTCCGTGATGATGAGCGATCTTCACACGAAAGCCGGTGCGGACGCGATGAAAATGCGTGTGTGACAAACTGACGACAGAGATGATGTGTGTGATATACGCAAACACGCAACTGTTCCCCCATGTACAATCCATCTCGCTTCCACAACACCACAGATATCCCACACCATTTCACGATATACCTGAAGTTTACACACCTACCAGTATCTAAATATAGTAAATTCCCGACGACTGCTTAGATTGAATGACACTACATTCCTGACGACTAATCACTGCGACAACTGTCAGTCGCTATACAAGCGAGAACATGCTAAAGGATAATTATAATCAAAACAGTAAGGTACACATTTGCATAAACCCATTTAATATCGTTTGCGTCATTGCCATACAGTTTCACTCCCAATACTTTTCTCTTATCGAATTGTCGTCTACACACCCCAAGGAGCGGTGTGTCAAATGTGATCCCTGTAATATAAGTGACTGTTCAATCTACAGGTTGGTCATTCTTATTCAAGTTGCCCTCTCCGCGTTGACAATTGGCACTGTGAACGTGATGTCTACAGTTAGACTTTTAAGCGTGGTTCGTATTTTCATTCCTTGTCAATAACATGTTGGACACTGCTAAATTTGATATGCAAGGAAGTTGTGTTTTAACTTGATCCAGGATATATATTGCATAGAATGACCTGTATTTGTCCTGGTTGATTTACTTCTCGGTTGGTATGAGGGACTTCAATATACATGCTAATATTAAACACTCTGTCTACCCTGTCTATTGAATTGTGCATTTCCTTATGCACTGGCAAGTATATCAGGTTATGCGTCAACATTTTCCTCAGTCTCATACTATTCAAATAGTAACCTAATTGTGTGTATTTTCCTGAAATAGCATATGAGTCGGAACCTGGATCAGTGGCACAATAGTTTGGGTTGTTTGTTAGTTCTGAAGTTTGTGACTTTTCCATCATCAAAAGCCAAAAAATGCTATTCATTTCAAGAGAAGATGGAACTGGGTCGATTCCGACGCTCACCCACTCCACCACTGGAACGTAAATGTCGTTGTTGTGACTTGAATACTCCCGAAGATGAATGGCATGTCCTGACAACGTGTCCGTTACATTCGGATAACCGGTATCGCCTTTGGAATCAAGCAGATATTTAACCCTGCATTTACAACTCGACCTCTTTTGATCAGATTGTATTTCTGATGCAGTGAAACCTGTTATTTAAAGTTCTGGCCGCTTCAGTAGAGATCCATGTTTTAACATAGACAAAATAGTATAATAGCTTAATAGTATAATTACTTACTTACACACCAATCACTACCACCCTAACCCCTACAACCCACCACGCAACACCCATTACCCATAACCCACTACACACAACCTACTACCAACCTAGCTCCTACCAACGACCACAAACCACCACCACCCACCACACGTACTCCTCTCACCCATGACCTATCACCCAACACCAAACACACACCCACCAACACCATCTTCACTCCAACCACACATCATCAACCACATACAATACACCACAAACCACACATCATCAACCACACACCATATACCACACATCATCAACCACACACCATACACCACACACCACACACCACACATCATCAACCACACACCATATACCACACATCATCAACCACACACCATGCACCACACACCACACATCATCAACCACACACCATATACCACACATCATCAACCACACACCACACACCAAACATCATCAACCACACACCATATACCACACATCATCAACCACACACCATATACCACACACCACACATCATCAACCACACACCATATACCACACATCATCAACCACACACCATACACCACACACCACACATCATCAACCACACACCATATACCACATATCATCAACCACACACCATACACCACACACCACACATCATCAACCACACACCATATACCACACATCATCAACCACACACCATACACCACACACCACACATCATCAACCACACACCATATACCACACATCATCAACCACACACCATACACCACACACCACACATCATCAACCACACATCATATACCACACATCATCAACCACACACCATACACCACACACCACACATCATCAACCACACACCATATACCACACATCATCAACCACACACCACACACCACACATCATCAACCACACACCATACACCACACACCACACATCATCAACCACACACCATATACCACACATCATCAACCACACACCATACACCACACACCACACATCATCAACCACACACCATACACCACACACCACACATCCCCAACGAGACACCAGTCATCCCACACCACAAAAAAACCACCACATATCTCCCACCACACACCACACACCATACCACACACCACACATCACACAACACCATTCTCCCATCACACACCACACATCACACAGCACCATTCTCCCATCACACACCACACATCATCCACTACACACCACACACCACCACACACAATCACACATCCACCCACTACACACCACACTCCACCACACACCAACTCCCATATTGACTGATGCCTCTCCTAAAAAGTATATGAATGTTCGCAATTTTTTGTTTTCTTCAAATTAAAAATGTTGGAACTTTTAATGCAGTGTACTCAAAATCATATTCATACTTTGCAGCCTATCGCCATCTGGACTTCAGGAGGTTCACATGTTGGATGTGTGTATATGTTTCGCACGGTGAACGGAATAAACACCTGAGTCGACGCCAATAATAGTAATGAATAAAAAACACCACCTTTGTGATTACTAGCATGTCCACACATCCATTTCCGTTCGGTCCTGATGGAATCATTAAGGAACCCATTAACTGAAACGTGGAATTTCCTTTTGATATAAAGATTGACTCCGTAGCCAAAGCTATACACTTGTAAACACCAGAGGCTGGAGCCACTTTGGCATTGCTCGATATGAAGGGAACGTTAAATGCATTCCCGTTGCCATGTAGTCTTGTTGGTAGTTGTTTGTCACTGAATCTGTATGCAAAGATATGAAAAGACACTTGAGACAGTGTAATAAATATATATATTTTTCTGTTTGATGTGAAGACTGACTACGTTGCCAAAGCTATACACTTGTAAACTTGGAGCTACCTTGGCATTGCTCGATATAAAGATAAAGTTAAATACATCTCCGTTATCATGTATTGTTGATAGTTGTTTGTCATTCAGAATCTGTATGCAAAGATATATAGACACTTGAGACAGTTTAATAAGGTTTTTTTTCTAGATGAGGTGGTCATTATTGAAGAATATCAGGTCAGCTATATACATGAAGCTTAAGTTAAACTTTTTAGCCAACTATGTCTACATTTTTGTTCATGTTCTTACCATATCAAAAAGAGGAGGAGAGGTTTGTTTTCTTGCGTCTTACATCTGAACCAGGTACCATAGGGTCACCATGTGTTTATATTGACCTTTGACTTAATTCAATAGAACATGTTCAGAACGGTCCTATGTGCGGAAGTGTGAAGGAGAGTATAATAATCCACCTGAGACACAATAGTGAAGTTTCCAGTTATATAAATATACACAGTTGTAGTAATGCTAAATCGTACAACCTCAACTCAGGTGTTATGAGTGCTGCAATGTTTGGAATCCCAATTGTGACTGTGAAAACTCCCCAACACCGCGGCATCACCTACAGGGCCAGAAGGGATGTGCTCCTGACTTCACAGCACATCTGGGTACGCTCCCAATATCAGTCAACAGATTGGGAGGTACCAAACGGAGTCGGACAACTTGGTACTTGGCATGGAGGGGTGAGATTTCGTTAGCAAGGTCGCATAATTGGCATGTTTTTCCCTGAATGTTGTCAATGATATTAGTGCCAAAACACAGAGAATTCATTGGATTTATCGAAAAGGACAATATCAGGTGTGTTGGCCTGGATGCGTCTGAAGTTGTATATTGGCCTGTTTCAGAATTCATTAATTATCATTTTCCATAACGCCTTCTACATATTGTGTGACAAAGGACGGACGATTGAGTCCAAACCGCAATCATGGCGAAGAGTCACGCCATCGTGCGATTGAATAAACTGTGTTTGTGTCAAATAAACTGGGCATCTAATGACAATGTCTTTGTCTCCATAAGTTAATTGCATATATTCATGTTTACATTTTGAGGCAAAATCACAAATTGACGATTTCGAACCCATCAAAGAACTTTCAGCAGAATATGATAAGTTACCATGACAGCAGCTAATCCCATTCTTCTTCTTATATGGATTAATGAATCCCAGATATTGAATCTATTCTGTTTGTTTTCATATAGAACATAGCGCTGATCTTCACTCTCGACGTAGAAACTCCGTTTGAAGGACTGTCATTCATTGTCTGACACAAGGCCTTCGTGAATAATTTAAGTGTCAAAATAACAGAAACCCCAATGAAAAGCTGGTTTTGGTTACTGATTTCAGACAGACCCTGCTTAATCCATAGCTTTACCAGTTTGGCCTCCAAGGACATATTTGCTCTCTCGGACGTATTCCAGTATGAATGCACTACAATTGACATTTGTTTTAAGTCAGTTAATTTTCAATACTGACGGTTGCTCTAAGATGACTTTCTACAGGAGGTCTGAGATGGATGATCTGGTGTTTGCCGGGAGCCTGATAGAAGAGGTCAACCAGGTGGACAAGAGGGCTGAGTGTTTCTCTCGGTGTCAGAGGCGAGTGCGGTGTAACCTGGTCTTGTACAACCCGCTCACCAGGACGTGTAGGCTACACTCTGAAAGCTTTAACTCGGACATTGATAGCACAGTTATAACTGGATGGCAGTACAATGGGAGTGAGTATCAATGCGTAATTAGAGAATGATCAACGGTGAACAAAGAATTACAGATTCTGTGCCTGGGTGAATGAATGAAGTAAGCCTCAAAGTCTTTTGAAAGACACTCACATAATCCATTCACAGGTGACGTTTATTCCGTTATTCTCTGTTGCCAGTGGGTCATATCATGTACGAAGTATTGTCGTTTCTGAAAATAAAATAGGAAAAGACTTTAAGATCTGCTATTCAATCTATACACTCCATTTCTTTCACCCATATCGTGCTCGATAGTGACAGGATAATATCGTGAATGTGACTCGAAAATGGCGCGATATTACCGCGAATGTGGTTAGT